ACTGAAATTTACGTCATGTTTGTGACGTCATTACGTACATATGACGTCATTACTTATGAAAATATTCAGAGTTTTGAAGTCAGCATATACTCCCCTGTTTAAGAAGTTAATTAAACATATCTCCATCAAACTTTGATTTGGGGGGCAAATATGGGTTATTACCGAATAAAGTTCTTTGCAAATGTTTATGTATCGAAATTGAAACACATTTCCATTTTGATCTGGTTGCCTTCTGTAAAATTTAAGTACAGCATTAATATTTTGGCTTAAGGTTAAGATGTTTCATGATTCTGGGGCATGGTCTCAGGTCCTTATTTCACTATGTTGAACTCAAAAGGGGTAATAATTTTTTTATTCATATGCTGTATATTTCTTTATATTGTATATTTATGTCGGAGAATTTTTTTCTTTGATTGGGATCGGGATTGGCTATATACTCTTATACATGTAGTGAAAAGTCCGTCGGACGGGACCATAAACGGTACATGTAACGTGTGTCAAGGATTGCAACTTTGCACGCCAATAATCGTGTTTCTGGTTTTCGAAAGAATAGACTGATTGGGATCTGCTGGAGAAACGCAATAACTTTCAAAACATTCAAATAGCATTTAAGTTCATTCTGACGAAATATTGATTACTCCTTTTAAATAACCAATAATCAATCAATCTTATAGTGAAGTTGCTTACTTTGATGTCTGTAAGTTGAGCAAAGTTTGAAATCATTACTTTTTGATTAAAACATTAGTTGGTAGATAACGACATGCGTTGCAATAAACCTGGATTATTACATTTTGCGTTATTACATGTACACTTTGCGTCAAAATCAACGCAGAATATTATAATGCAAAATGTAACAACACACTTTTGAGGATTATTACATTTTTTGTTATTACATTTTGTGTCAAGATCAACGCAAAATGTTATAACGCAAAATGTAAAAGCACGATTTTTGGATACTAACATTTTGCTTTGTTACATTTGCAATCAGATTAAGCAAAAAAGGGGATTTCAAAATGCTTTCACACTTTTTCGTCAGACATATTGAGTACAATTTTCAATAGAGTACTAGCCGATGTAAAGAAAAAAAAAGGAAAAAATAGATATATGCATTTCCTTACAATTAATGAATTCTATATTATATTGGATTAATTAATATTGCTACATGTATTTATAATCAGTTTAATTAATGTATTCAAATCATAGGTGTTGCAAATTAGAAAAGCGCATGTTTGGGCGAAGTTATTGTTAAGGGAGGGGGAAGGTGGGAGGACTGACCAGTGTGTTTTTGCTTTTTTAATAAACAAATGCGATGAATCTAAAAACACGATTCATTTGTAGTGACAGTTGTACGAGGGGTGATCAAAACGTTCGCAAACTAATTGAATAACTTCAATACAAGAAACAATATTTGGTTTTAATGTTGATTATATTTTAAATTATTCCTCCCATATTTTAATGCACATCAACCACCGTTCTGCGCATGCACGAATTACGTGATATTTGCGGTCACGGGACCACCTCTGTAGCGTTCTGTCACAAAAGTTGAAAGATTTTTCCGAGTTTTATATTTCTTTCCATGTGAGTTAATATTTATGGCAAGAAGAGTTCATTTTTCAGACATGGTCACATATCTGCAACAGAATGGGTGGAATATAATATCCTTTCCAAAAATAAGCATGGTGACCATTAAAACACAAATCTTCTGTCTCAGGAGAGATCTTTATTCAAGGTGGATAGAGAATGGGTGCATCCTTTTTATCATATCTAACATGTTTAAAATCTAAAGTAAACGATATATTAGGTATTTAATACTTATATCATTGCTCAAATATTCAACTATTTTTCAAAGTGCTAATTAGAGGTATTTGATAACAAATTGCTTGATTAAAAATACATATCCTTTCAAACTTGCTTTCACTGGACAAGATGGCAAGCATTATATTTAACCATCTGCCTTCCTTCACTAAAACGAACAATCCAATCATTGATTGAATTTATAGGAAGTCAATTATCTCAATAAACTGTGTACAAATTATTTTACGCTTCTTCAAAGGGATTTCTAAGATATAACATAAATTCTGCAGTCGTTTGTTGAACGAATACGATTGAGACAACAATTTTTCGTCACAAGTGACCTAAATAGTGAAGTCATTTTCACATTGTGACGTCAAAAACGACGAGAAAAACCTTTATTCAGCATATGCTATTTATAGACATTGTGTAAGGCTATGTGTGTACCGAATTTCATTCCAACCTGAATTGTGGTTTTGTAAATACAGAGGTAGTTTGCGAACTTTTTGATCACCCCTCGTATATATAGGGGTAGAAGGGGTTTATTGAAAATAATGATACCATATTGTTGCATGCAAATCACCAGCTTGCAAAGAAAGTAAAACAATATTCTCCCTCCGTCTCTCTCTCTCTCTCTTTCTCTCTCTCTCTCTTTCTATCCAATAAGGAAATGGATTGTTTCTGTATGTCCATAGTAATGCAATAATGAATATAAAAAGAAAACCCCCACCCAATCTGTGCCCCTTCTTGCTTAACACACACATACACTTCTACATATGTACCTTGTTTATAAATGTACACATGCCGAACATGCATATCAAGAGATTTCGAAAAAAATCATGGTCAATCTTTTGATTTATGCATTTACTTTACCATAAAAAAATGATTAAGATGTCATTTTATGGTGCCAATAATAATAATGATTGGGTCAATATATTCCTAGGTCATCATTGCCATAAATAGTATTTTTGGAGTCATTATCGATTTTTATTAAATCTCTATTACCTCTATTACATGTAATAATATTTATATTTGATTGACTTGTAAAATGTAAGAAGGCTTTAAAAGTGTATAATTTTCTTCTTTTTCTTAAAACATATTAACAAACAGGGTCTTTAAGATGATATCACCAAATAGTGACATTTATAATTCAACTTAAATGAATTTTGTTTAATTTTTATTTTCTCCATTTATCTTAGTTTAAGCCGCTGAAATATGGCTGAAAAATTGCCGACTCGGCGTTAAACAATAAACAATCAATCAATCAATCTTAGTTTTAACGTATTGTAGTTATTTTTATATATTTGCATATCCACTGCTCTCTCCCAGTATGAACATGTAGCCATCAACTGCGTTCATAGCACTATAGACGCAACTGCTCTTGATATGAGTACAATTGCTCTATCACATTCGTGTAGAACAAGCTTTACTACACATATGTAGAGTGTTGAGAAGTATATGTATGAAATGTTTTGTAAAAGAAATAAATATACGTTTTTAATAATTTTTTTTTGGAAAAAAAAAAGAAATTCTGAACAATGTAAAATTGCTGATTTATATCTTTAAAAATTTAATTTTGGTCAATGTATTTAATTGTAATATAAAACTTTTTTAAAAATTGAAGACAACTCCATATTTTATTTTTTTATGTCATAATTTTGCATATTTGTACAAAGAACGATAAGTCTTCACACTTGGGTTATAAAACATTCAGAAAGAGCAGTATATGTCTATTTCAAGAACGATATCAGCTCTTTAAATTAAATAGAAAAAACTTTAAAAATCATAAAAAAGCATTCTGGAGTTATAATCATTATTAAAGCATTCTCTTTTTTCAACACAAGGTTAATTTATTGATTTTTGTCAGGGGGTCTCAATAACGTTGATCAATTACGTCACAACTGAATCAAAACAAAAATTAGGAGATGGGATGCGACGACTCAGGGTAAAGTAATTGGATCGGTACATTGTAGATCGATAAAACATCTTTTCCTTTAGAATACTTTAGAATACAAAATAGATTTGTTGACTGGTAAAAAAAAATTAGGTGTCCCGAAATATATATATAAAAAAAATTGGTTGTTTAGTCAATCGGTCGGGAGAGTGCATCCAAACATCTTTTTTAACGATGACCTTGTATATTTATTTTTCCCCACATATATTTAAGTAGCCACTGACAGATAAAGTACAAAATGATAAAACAGTAAAAAAAAAAAAAAAAAAAAACCACAATGTTTTGACCTTTAATTTAGACTAAAAAATAATTTACTATGAATTTTATTAATTTCTGCATGACGCATTGAGTTCGATTTAAGTTATGCTGCTACTTTTAGACAGTCACATAAAACAACCTCCCCTCAGTTAATGTCACCAATGCGCACTAAGTTATTTCAAACTTGGAATGTTTGTCCAGATTATGTTTCGTGGTAAATTAGAATTTATGAAAAGGAGAGATTATTGTTTAAAAAAAAAACTTCTTTTTTTTCGAGATATTAATCTTTTCATTTTTAATTGAGACTAATTCAAGAGATGACAAATACTTGAAATTAGTTAGTTTGTTTTCTTAGCCTCATCATTGTAAAAAAATATATAATTTAAATTACCGTTCAATCTGAACACGGATGTTATATAATGCGGGGAGTCTAGAAAAATATTTGCATTTGAAGAACTGTCCATTTATGTTCTATAAACTTAAAGTATGGAGTAATTTTTTATGTAAATGTACACTCTACAATTGTAAACTCCTTGATTTTTTTTCTTCTTTTAAAAAATAAAGGTAGTGACATAATTACTGATATGTAAACGAAAACGCAAATCAATCTTTTAAATGTTTTTTTCATGTTACCGGTATATTGAAAACTGTTCAATCTGGTATGATTATGTAGGCAGTTGTACTTCGCTAAAGAATATGTTCATGTTTTAAACCAGAGGCCAAATTCATAATTTTGAAAGAAGCACTGATACAAAGCACTTTGAAAAATTATGCACTTTGGAAAAAAAATTCAATTTGGGACTAAATTAACGCACTTTAAAAAAATATAAAAAAAACCCAAAGTGAGTTGATTTTGTCCCAATTTTAACGCATTTTGAAAAAAAATTTCAAAGTGCATATTTTTTTCATAAGTGCGTTGCAACAGAGCACCGTTGCTTATCATACATTTGTAATTATACACTCATATACATATGCTTTTTGGGTTTCTTAATACCCAATGGTAGATCAGAGTATCACAGAGAAAATACATCTCAACTTTATAACCAATTATGCACCCTACCCTGCATGACGCAACTGATTCCGGGGCCACTGTTTAACTTTAGAATGTATAACCAAATCGTTTTTTTTTTTTGGTTATAGCTAGATACCAGTGCATATTTCTAATAAAGAACTACAATAATATACACCTTAATCAACATGAATTTGAAAAGTCGTACCGAACCTTCTTGAGTTTCGAGTATTTAAACAAGGCAAGGAGATATTTAAATGGACACTTGAACAATCTGATGCTGGATCATCGGGCGCGTTTACGGAATGCTATTTCTTGCGCTGAATCGGATTAAAAAAAATAATGAAATTGTGTAGTTTTCTGCAGCCATAATGATAAAATTAAGAATTGGCACGCTTGCTTTCGAAAAAAATACAATAAACATTTATTTGAATTTGAAATTAAAATTGAGTTTTTAGGTGACTTTTAAAACCTGTTTCATTGTCTTGCAAGAATGTTTAAAGTGTTTGACACTTTTATCAACCACACTATACACCAACCTTCCGTTTCTTAAAAACAAGTAAATACCAAAAATATATAAAACGGTAAGACTTTGATTAAATGATACAATATGTCTAATATGTTTTACAGTGAGCACCACTGAGGAATTTATCTGGGTAGAACTCACATGATTATCGGTAATTTTAATAATTCAATCCACAGGAGGCCGCTTCAATATAGGCCATACAGGTCACTTGCTATATACTAGGATAAGAAAAAAATGTAGGCCTTTCAACGATTTTTTTAAAGTTGCACATATAGTAAAATACATTTCATTGATAGATAAATAGGTACATGGAATTATCAAAAAAAGATAATAAGTTTTGGATACATTTAAATGACTCATGAAAAAGTTTTATCATTTATAATTGAATTGTACAAAGTTGTCTGTTAAGGACAGGTAACTCAGGGGTGAAAAATGACCAACTAAGTACCGATTTATGAGTAATCGTTTACAGGAATGACATATAGGCTACTTCAGAATTATTATTGTTATGTACACAAAAGGATTCCTTACATTGTTTTGTACACAAAAGCGTTGACAAAAAGGAGAATGTCTTCACTCTACCTGAAATAACAGGTTCATATGAATAGGGAACATACTATATTCAATATTAAACTCATTTTGACGATTTTTATGAGGAAGAAAATATAATGACATGTTTTATTTGTGCGCACTTTTGTGCTACAAATATGAATATATATATATACTTTAAAAGTAAATGCATCAATAAATTATCTTATTTGTGTTACCTAGCACGAAGAAGAACGACCCAGTATAAAATTAAATCTGGTTAGAACTAAGAAGGAGGGTAGATTTCACTTTTTATTTTAATTAAAAATTTTACTTATAGCTAACCAAACGGTGTACGCAACAATAGTGTAGATAGGTTTAACAATAGTGCTAAATTTTAAAACTCTTGGATTCTATTGACAGTAAAGAAATACTTGGGAAATGCTAATAACTGACTTGCGTATAAGCAGTTAGATACCAAGGACATGCTCTAAACAAGTTTCAGCAACGAGATATCGTTCCTAACAGCAAATTCTAGCGGCAGTTGATAGGTCTAAAATTGTATTATTTTAGATATATATTCTAATATATTAAGTACCAGCCTAATTGTGTACAGATTTCATACTTTCACATAAGTTGTATATATGTATTATGCGTCTTCAATCATTCACACAAGTTTGTACAACATTAGGCTCATAGGAAACAAATGCTTTGAAATGGATGACCGTTCTTGATTTACTATAGAAAATCACAAATGACGGATGACCCTTGCCACATTATATGGTTTTGTTCTTTGTATATTTGTAAATTTCTGCGGTAAAATTTGTTGAATCTTGTGGTTTATATATCAGTTTATGATTTGAGTTGAAAGATTTTGTTTAATTTGATTGATTATTTCCTACATGCATGCTGTACTATTTTACCGGGGTCCATGAGTGCACTCGTTCTTTAACAAATTTTATTTCATCATAATTGGTTGATTAGTACCAAGATGTAGAATGAAAACATTATTTTATTTCAACACCAAGAGTCCCTGCAACTCAGGGGGCCTGTAATAAACTATTTCGTATGAGGTACCTTTCTTCATTATAAATATGTACTTGTATCATTGGCGTTATAGATAGGAGAAATGGAAAATATTTTAAAAGAACATCTTTTCTTTTTAATCATTAGAGCCTCACTCTAACACCAGAACGTCTGACCTAGGGGCCCTTAGATTCATATATTTGGAGAAGTCATCCTTCCTCATCATAAACATTAAATTGATTGGTTTCATACCCAGGATCACAGGAGAGGAAATTTAAAGAATTTATGCATTTTCACTACATTATCAAGAGAGAGCTCCATTCTGACACTAGAACCCCAGGCTCTCGGGCTATAAAATTCACAATTATGGAGAGGACAGCCTTATTCAAAATGACTATTTAAATGTACTTGGTTAGTTTATATCATTTTCTAGAACATGGAAGACTTTTTTTTAATTAACAGGAAACCCCGAACTAGGGGCCATAATATTCATAATTTTCAAAGAAGCATTCATGTTCATTATAACTATATATATGTAATAACTATGTTCTTAGTAAGTTTGTTTAATACCCAATAGCAGAGAAGAATATTTTCAATAAATTTGTGTATTATCACGATGTAAGCAATAGAGCCCCACCCTAACACTAGAACCCCTGACCAAGGGTCATTAAATTCACATTTTTGAAGAAGCATCATTGTTCATCATAATCCCCGTCCTAGTAGAACCTACATGTTAATCCCTGGGGCCATGAATTTCACTATTTTGGTAGATGACTTAAATGTTAACGCACAAGGCACGTCAAACAACACGCAACGTACGACAACGGACGAAAACAGATAGCAGTACGTTTTTTGAATTAACTCTGGTCACCTAAAAAAATTGTCGTATCTGTATGTTATAGATTACTTCTCCGCATTGACTGATGACGAAGTGTCTGTGTTATTCTGTTTTCTGTGTTCTGACTCCGGTCCTCCTGACTTCACCGACACAGAGTGGCTGGACTTGCTTAGTAAGATACGACAGCAAGTTTTCACCAAGTATGCTAATGTAACACGTGAAGAAGCACACCAGACTCTAGACAGACTGAAGTCACGTGATTACCTTTGGGAAGATCAGGACAACATTAATGAGACCACAAAGGATGAAACAATGTACAAAATAGCATCAAACAAAAGTGATTTACCATTCATTTACAGTAGTTATAACACAGGTAGTGTGTACCTGAGATCAAGACAATCCAGCAGAAAACCTGGAGAGAAGTGTGTCATGAGTGACAGAAGTTACTGTGATGACTTGCTGATACTCCGTCTACAGATGAACATACTGACTCACGTCACCATGGAGGACACGGGAATGTATTATAAAATACACCAAATATGTAAGTCATGTAAAGGGGTGTAATTATTTCAAAGTTAAAGAAACCTTTTTTATACTGGTTCATTTAATTCTTAGGGCAAATTTAAAATACATTCAGTAGATTCACTCGATATTTCATGATCTGATCTCTACGCAGCTAGGTTAAGGATTCCCTAAGGTACCTTCGAAAATTCGATTATTACATCACGGGAAAACTGCAAATGAATCTCGGCAAATAAATGCTATTTTTTTCCATACACTCTTACATGTTGTCATTTCTCATAAATATTGTAAATATACATCAATGTGTACATGTAACTCGTTACAACAAAGTGTGCGCCGTTTGTTTTTTCCCTTAATTTAACATTATCTCAATGGGTAAAATTTTAATGCACGGATTTTTTCAAAAGACTGCTAAGTTTTATATTATTCCCGGACACGAGGAAGTTGCTCCCAGCATTTTTCGGGTTAAGGCATTTATCCATAAAAAACACAATCAATTTCATAGTGAACAATTACTTGTTTATCCTTGGACTCTTTCAATCTTTCTAGCTGTGCATTTTTTTCTAATTTAAACGTGTTACGTGACAAACAGCTTATGGAAGTGAAGTCCGTTTGATCGAACTTGGCAGAAACCTCATACATACATATTCAATAGTATATAGAATTCCCATTAAATAAAAACTCATGCTAATAAAAAATATCAACATTAGATTGATTTTCACAGAATATTTTAAGATGTATTTCTGATGGGCGGCCTTAACCCCCTTTCCCGTTGTCACTCATTTTAATGCATGTAGCATTTCCTATTTCTAACACAAAATCACGAATATACCGTTTCCAGACAATCACGCATTTTTACGCACTTTGAAAAGTTCATTTATTCTTAAAGTTCATGGCAATTTCCTTCTATTATACTTTGCAAAATCTTAAGAAATAAGAAAAGTTATTTTTGTATAAAAATATTACGCCATAATATTATTTGCGCCTTATTTAAGAAAAAAAAGTGTGCCACTCTAAAAGGTGCTTGCGGGGAAATGGTAAACTTTTATTTCTATGACGTGAACAGTAAGTGTATGTGGCATAACAGTTCAGTAAGTTTTAAAGAGTTAACTTAGCTGCGTAGATATGTGTCACGAGACTTACATTGGAGCTTATGAATTAATCGTCAGTTTACTCGACATTGTTTCTGCATAAACTTGCGTATTTGAGAATAAGTTTTAAAAGAATTTTAATTATGTTAAAGTTTTATAATATATAGTTCTTCACAATTTCCCAAATATTTTCTACAGTGAATGTTCCAGTTAATATTTTGAGTGAAAATGAAGATAAAAGGAGAGACTTTCTAACAGTGCAAAAAAGAGGAGGGGATGCCGTACATTTAAGAGGAAGATCACATAATAGTGTAGATCACGTGACGTGGCTCTGGAGATACGAGCGGTGGGCGAGACCTAACATCGTGAGATCCTGTATAGGACTCCATCCACACTTGGACATTTACATCATCGACAACAAACCTTACAGAAAACCAAGTAAGAAGAAATATATCTTTATGTTTTACTCTATCTACAAAACATTCAGCCCAATTCTTACAATTTGACACGTAAACTGTACATAGGCATTCCCCTTCCACCGTTTTAGTACAAAACATCACGATCTGCTTTCCTTTTTTTAATCTATGTACATAAAAATTACCTGGCAATCTCTTTAAAGGGCAAGATAGGGTAACGACTAAATCTAGCCTCTCATTTGATGGAAAAATCCGAACATCGGTAAAAATTTGTTTGTTTTTTTTTTGTAGTTAAGAAGTTAAAATGATGCTTACTTTAAAACAAACACTATTTTTAAAACTTTTATGGAAGCCACTAGAGGGTGCAGAAGTAAGACATTTTTTCAGAATTTCCTATATTCTGGTTGAATTTCGTTATATTTGAGAAACTTTTCTCTTCGGAAATCAGAGCACAAGCTTGCCTATCTTAAATTTTTATACATAAGCTGCATCTGATATGTATGAGTTTATAAAATATATAAAAAAAAATGGTAGGTAGAAAAGCTTGTGCACAGAAGCAGAATGTGCTGTAAAATCAATAAAAAAATGCATACATATAATAATGAGAGTTTTCAAAGACAAACCTATTTTTTGACCTCACCGTGCCCTCTGTGTATTTTAAACCTTAGAGCTAATACTCATGTTGTGGCAAGGTTGACAACAGTTTTTTTATGGATACACTGTTGGATCTTTCTGAAATAACCCAATAATTGGGGCCAAGTACTTATCTTACTCTAGCTTGTCAATTAAAATCGATAACTGTTTTTATTTATTACATAGTGGTAGTTTTTGGAGGTGGTTGCGCTGTTTTCTAGAGATTATAAAACTGGAAAAATGCCCAATGTTCGGTTTCTTTTTATTTCAGAATTTGTGAGGTAAATGTACATTATGTTTTGATCTTACACAAAAATTTTCTGGAACTGGGTGTTGGAATACATCCAAAACCGAAACGTACGATTTCCTTGTACCATATTACATCATCGGAACAAAATGTGTTTGTTGTTTGTTGTTGTTATCATTTTCTTGTATACATTTTTACACCATTATCTTCATACCGAGGATCACCAGTCCAAATCATACATTTTTAGCTTTCCAGTCTCTGTTTTAAAACATGATCTTTGAAACATGAAAAGAGAAGCAAAGGCACAATTAGGCATATTTTATTATAAACCACCTCAGACAGTGTATATTGAAGCATGTTGAAATATGATAATATGAGATTGATGTATGGGAAAAGGCTACAGCACAATTAAAAATTATTACTCTGGAGAAGCTGGAGATAATTTCAGCAATTTTGAAATACTAAAGATGCTATTATTCAAACAACACAATAAATATTTTGCAAATTCAGCACCCTTGAGTATAATAGCAAAATTAATTCCATCCTAAGAATGCCACTGATACAGTGATATATTCAACCATCTCGACCATGCGTATCAATTGTCAGTAAATGATAGATGGCCACTTTTTCATTTTATCTTACCATTTAATTGCGTCTAATTTATTTTTATTTAGCTTAAGGGTTTTCATTTAAGAAAAAAATGTTGTTTCTTTGTTTGAAGTCTATTACGTATTCATGTTAGATCTTAAAAATTCATATGACCGTATTGAATTCCTTTACTACTTAATACTCATTTTAGTTTTCACAATATATTTTTTTCGTAAATTAAACATGTGCAATATAACTAAACACGTGTAACTTCAGATCAGTATCACAAATACAAGCCTTCTGTGAAGTGGCTCCTCTATGGGGTTTTGTTGGTGGATCAGTTCACTCTTGATGTCAATAACGAGTCCCATAAAGAAGTATTGAACATACTCAGGGAAAGATATTTCACAGAATTAACTTTATATGGTGAAATCATCGTGCCAAACATCCCTAGTGAAATAACTAATATACGCGACAACAGGATCACATTTATATCAGACGACATAAGACATGACGTCATGTACGCCTTTGTTACGGAATGTCTGGTGGAGGACAGTGATCTGGAGTTTTTCCTGACCACGGCGTCACGTGACGTGATCTCAGAATACTGCCGGTCCTGGGAGTATAAGAGGAGTAAAGGAGAGAGATGTCTGTATGTACCGGACGAGCCGGAGAAGATGTACGACCTCTTCATAGACAAACTACAGCTGGACATCATCTCGCACTGTACCTTGTCTGACGAGAGGATTCATGACAGGATCAGTATACGTCGTAAGTATTTATAATGAAAAAAAGTTGTTTTAATTTTAATAATTTTTTTTGATGCCAAGTTTAACGAATCGGAACAATCATTGAGTTGAAGCAACTATTTGTTTTGGTATATTTTAATGCCAGCTCATATAGAGCTCAACACACTTTTGAAACTCACGTGGTTTTTAGTACAAACGAATGCCACATTGATATATTGCAAAATTGTGTAACATAACAAGAAATACATCTTAAAGTGATTTAGAACTTAACCCTCTTTCCCACAGACTCGCATTTTAACGCATATACCATGGCCTTATCAAACCAGAATATTTTGCGTGTTTTTGTTACATGTAATCTTAGACACAATTCTTAATAGTTTTAAAGAGAAAGTGGCATTTACACAGTTTAGATTTTAAGAATTCTGAAAAATAAAGAGATTTTGTGTTTTTTTTTTCTGGAAGGCATAGGCAGATTCAACATTAGTTTGTTTATGTTTTCGAATACATATTTGAAATATACTCTTTGGAAATGACTATTTTTGATTTTCATAAGTTTTAGCATAGAATTGATGTAGTTTTGTGCATAGCTATTTAAAAAAAAGTAAAATACTTTTTGGATAACTCCTAGGGTGGTGCTCAGTTTGACACAAGAAAACACAACTAAAAGTTGAGGAATTGGAATGGTCATTTATTTAACAAATAAATGACAAGGTATTATGCGAATAAAAACATATAAAACAGTTGAAAATACACCAAACAAAAAGCACAATACCATAATTTAATAGAGGGACTTGTGGCTTGTTAAACATTCCAAATAATGCCACAACCCTAAAAAAAGGTTATACAAAAGTCATACACACAGTATTTAGACTAGAAAAAATCAAAGTTATGAGACAAGATAATTTTGCAAATTGTAAATACAAAAAAGTGTCGAAGATGAGGTTTATTCCGCCACCTATCAAACTGGTGGCTTCTACAGTTTCATATGCCCCATCCACCACCAGGCAAAAAAAATTAAAGAATAAGAACACAAGCAAAAAAAAGTACTGGGACTGTAAGGTTAACTTTAGTATGTACATAAACACAATCAATAAACTACGCAATATTGATTAAATCAGAAGCCCCTGTCTCTGCGGTTCAATTGAATTTTTCATCTTATCTGAAATAAACCTAAAGCCCATGCCTTCAAGGTTCAAATTGCGCTTAATGTCTGAGTGATAATTCTCTATCGTTTAACTTAAGGCCCCTGTCCTTAAGGTTCAATTTACCACTGACTGCAAAATTCAGGCACGCTCTGTGTCTAATTAGTATTTGCGTTGTAGAACTTGAATCCCCTGACTTCGAAGTTCATATCGACACTGATCCAGATAGGAATTGGCTTTTGCATGATTCTTCAGCTTCAGATCTTCATGGTCGGGATGTATCTTAGATGCTGAAGATTTCCAGCGGCCCATGTTTGGTTTTGAACGTCCGATAGCCCCCGAGGCCCCAATCCGAAAACTATGCGATTGGTACTTGTTTATATCCAGTCCACAGAATGTCAGAGACAACTTGTTGCTATGGATGGTAGAGGAGATACAATTTTTGACAAATTGTCCGATGTTATAGATACTCTATTGTCAACAGTTGGCTTAACCTTGCTAAAACCTAATTGTTTTTATAAGAAAGCTTTGTGTAACGAGTTGAAAGGTAAAGCTTAGTGCAGCTATGTGTGTGCGGGTCGTTGAAGCAGCCAAACCTAACTGGTAGCAATGGGCGATATAAAGTAACAAATGAGAAAGCAATGGTGGCAAGGGATCAGCATTGTTATCAACATGGGCATGAATAAAACGTTTGTAAGTTGAAAATATGTTCTTATAGGATGACAATAAGTCTTCTGAAAGGGAGTTCCTATATGAAAAACTGCTGTTCTGGTCGGAGGTGTAGTAGCGTGTGCGGAACCATTGTTTCTTCCGTATCCATCTTGGGAAAAAGTTCCTTGAATCTTTGTATCAGCAAGTGAGAGAGAAAATCAGGTGCAATTTCATGAAGACCTGGAATATGTTCAGCATGGAAATGAATGTTGAATTTTAAAGAAGCAACCATTAGACGTCTTATTTATCTCATCAAGTTTGGGTGCTTGGAGGAGGTTTTGTTTATAACATAAACCACTGCACTGTTGTCTGAGTGTTATACGACTGTTGTGTTTGAGAGCGCCTCACCCCACATTTACATTGCAAGCACAATGGAGAAAAATTTTCTAGCTGAAATGTGGTATTCTAACCACTGTTGCTGAAATGGGCCATAAAACCATTTCCTGCCAAATATACACCCGTATCCTAAATTTCTAGCATCTGTATCAAGATGAAGAGATTTGGAAGTGCATATTTTTCCAGAATAGAAAAATGTTTTACTATTAAAATGTTGTAAAAAATAGACCAAGCATGTATGTCTGCCCTAGCCTTAGCATTTAACCTACGGTAGTGATAAGGCTTTCTAATACCCTTGGTTAGGTCAATAATTCTACGAAGAAATGTTCTTCCAGGTGGCACTACTGAGCAGGCAAAATTTAGCAGACCAATGAGGGACTGTAATTCGTGTAGGGTAGCAGTGCGCTTCTATCAGGCGACGTAATTTGTCTTTGGAAGTCTTATCTCAAATTTGATGGAATCTATTTCTAAGCCCTTAAAGTTCAATGTTGTACAGGACCGTACTGTTTTCTCAGATTCAATTGGAAAGCTGATGTCATTTGCAAGAGTGTGGGATGCATGAAGTGCATTATGACACCCTGGTGAGTTTGGGTAACCGATAAAGAGAAAGTCATCAAGAATGTGCACTCAGTGCGCAACATCAAATTTTGAATGAAGGATCCATTGCAAGGCTGAACTGAATTTTTTCAAAAAGATTGCAAGAGTAACTAAGACCGAATGGTAGAGTTTTGTAAAAATAAAATTGACCATCAATACTAAAACCTAACAATTCAAAGTCACTAGAGTGGACTTGTACTTGTTTATAAGCGTTTTCTAAGTCTCTCTAATATTATCTCTAATAATTGAAATAGCATGATCTATGGTTTGATATTTTACGGTGCAAAATTCATGTGGCCTTGTTTATATTGAATGTTTACTATAGCAGTATTGGCAGATATGTGCGTAGGGACATGAGTTTCTTCTGTTACAGTAGCCTGAATTATTGAACATGAGCAGTATTTTTACTTCGAGCTCGAGGGAGTTGGATGAAAGGGCTGCTTCTTAAGATTTGTTTTTGCTTCAAAGACTTGAATCATCGCATCGTGGAAAACTTCGGAGTTTTTCCTATCCCAAGGACAAGCTCGTGACGCCATTGTCTAAATTTCGCATCATAACTTATGGCAGCTTCATCTCCACATGACTTTGCGATGCCCTGGATGATTTTTGCATATGTCATGAGCTGCCCAACTTTGTCTTGATATTTTATGCTGTACATTGCTATTAAGACGTGGAAGGCCTCCATCCACTGCGCAATGGTTTGATTTGATTTGAACATATTTTATTATGTAAAATACATAAATGGATTGGGCAGCAGGCATAGCCTATATAAGCCCTCTCCATTGCGCAATGGTTTTTATTTGATTTAATAAAACTCAATTGTCCGTCCTTCTCAACTGGTTTAAATTTGGGGTCCTGCTCAAAGCTTGATTTGAGGATTAATGTGGCAAGTTTGATGTATTCGTTGCGAATATTTTGGTTTAGATTTTCCTGTCCATCCCCAGTCCCACAGGCCTTGAAATCCTCACCTGGAAATTGGTCTCTTGTGAATCATTTTGAATAGTTTTGGCATTACGCAGTTACGATAAGGCTTCCCAGAGAATATTGTAGTGTACTCTCCGCATGAACTTCTCTGAACTACAAATGTATGACGTCATAATTGAAAATGACGTAAGGTCGCTGCATACTTGAGCTGTAATAATGGGGAGAGTGTCAAAAACTTTACACCTCATTTCAATCTGCATATAAAATTGCAGAATGCTAGTTTAAAATAAAGGTGTTTTTATAATTTTTTCAAAAGTCCAATATATCCGAATAATTAAGATAGCTTTGCTTCATTACTTTTGTATAAGAGTCAGCGTGTTCAAACTACGTACGGAAATATACGTTTGACAATTACCCTTTTTTACACCCGTAAACAGAGACAGAATTCATTATATGTGTATAAAAGAGCCTGACGCAGGTTGTTAAGGGGGGTTTATCTAATATCTTTTGTGGATTATGTAAGAGGAGTTTCCCCTCTAACTGAATCCTGCTTGGGAAAAATGAATGATGGCTCTGTTTTAAAACAAATGACGAAATTCAGCGGAAAATACCCCAAGATTTGTCGGTAAGTTAAAGTTAATATGAAATAAATTGTTCCAAAGAAAAGGTTTCAAATTTCCCAAGCACTTTTCGGTTTCACAAGGATTCACTGAATTATTTTTGTGACAAAAAGATAATAATAATTGTGTTAACAGCCTGCGCCGAAGCGATTTATGAGGAACATTTCAAAAAAAAAGAAATGACCGTCACGTGATCAAGAAGGTCATGTGACATCGTAACAAATATGTTTATAAATAGCCTAGAGGATTCTCTATATGAATTTGGCGTACTGAAGTACAAAACTTACAAATAAAACTCAAAATCAACTTTGCAATGCAGTGTTACGTTATAAATACATTTTCAGCTCCGGGAAGCCTTAACGGTACTGCGTAGTACCTGTGTCTATGTCTTGACTAACAATGGTATTGAATGTTGAATTATTTGGGACTACGTCTGATCTACCCTCCAGTTGTCCAGACACTGGCTGTTGGGTGGCTGCTGGTTGCAGGGTGTAAAAACTTGAAATGCATTCTTTTACAGTTTTTTTACTAAGATGGGTAACGATGCAGCCATAATTCTGTAAGTTGGTTTTTCAGTAGAGATGATTCATTATCTGGCTGGGTATGTAGGTTATCTATTGACGAAGGTTTTGTCTAACGTCTCTATGACGAGACGCCATAATCCTGAAAACAAAGATGTTTGTAATAGAATCAAACTAAATCAATA